AGATATGTCAAAGACAGGTACAGAGAGAGGAAGATAGTGACTAGAGGGTGTATTACATGTGAAATATTAGACACTTTTAGTCTGCTATCTCTGTGATGAAGGGAGGGAGGCAGATTTTCTCAACTCTTTCCCAGGTTAAGCTGGGTCATTATAATCTTCCAATTATTTCTTTTGTATTTAGTTTTATCCCCTTCCATCAATCCCTGTCACAAATTCATTGAATTTACTTAATTTATTTTTCTTTCTTTTGCTTATTTATTGATCTATTCCTCTCTGTTAACTCCTATTCCTAAAAATCTTAGTTTATTTTGTATTACTACTTTGTTGTTGTTCAGTCATTTTATAGTCACATTCAACTCTTTGTGACTCCATTTGGGGTTTTCTTGGCAAAGATACCGGAGTGGTTTACCATTTTCTTTTCTAGCTCATTTTATAGATGAGGAAACTGAGGCAAACAGTTAAGTGACTTGCCCAGGGTCACATAACAAGTACATGTCCAATGTCAGATTTAAACTCTGGAAGAGAAGTCTTTCAGACCTCAAGCCCAGCATTTTGTCCACAGGGCCCCCTAGCTGCCAATTCCTTTATGGCGTCCTTTTCCAATAAATTTTCCTTTACTTTGTCCTTTTTTTTCCTCCCTCCTTTGAATTCTACTCTTCATCTAACAGACTATGTCTTTACTTGTTCCTTTTTAATTCACTCTGAGCACTACCGAATGTGTCATTTCTTGAGAATCAAATTTCAGTTCCTTCCTCAAATGAGATAATATGTGTAAATATTTGTAGAGCACTTAGCACTGTGCCTAGCTTATAGTAAATAATAAATAGTCATTCAATTGCAATCCTTTTTCATACTTCTCTGTTACTGCATTTGTAAAAGCTCTTAATACCTTATTTTTTCTGCTGTGCTTCACAGGTAGAAGTATCAATTCATGAAAGAAGAAATGCTGAATGAAAATGGTGTTATGTAGTGTCACATTGTATCCTGAATTATGAAGGCTGGTCTTCCTCCTTGAACACTGCTAAGGGCAGGTTATCCAATCTGCTTCTGTGTCTCTTTTCTAATTCATATGTTGCCCCTCCTGGTACGGGATGGAATCTAGTGAATTACAACCCTTTTTCAAAGAAGATAGTCTCCTAATGTGCAAATTGCTCCCATCTTTCAAACCCATTTTGAAGATTCTATCTCTTATACACCGGGGCCATGAGATTTAGTCCATAAAAGTTTAATTCATTCCTTCCCCTTTCTCCTCTTATCCTTTAAATTCATCTTAAATCTTAGGATTCTGTGGATCTCTGAGGGTCTTAGTTTTCTCATTTATAAAAACAACAGGTTCACACCAGATATGAAAAGCCCCTTCCAGTTCTAAAATTCTGGTTCTCTTCCTCCTCCCAGTTCTAAGTACCAGTTTCTTAATCCTTCCCTCCCTCTCTTTATTTATAGTATAATTAATGTTTCATAAAACTCTAGGGGAAAACTGTTCCTGAAAACCAAATCCCCATATAAAATTTATATTTCATTAAGAAGGCTGAAGATTGCCTGAGTTTAAGATATATATTTGTATTTTCCTTTGAAGAATGTAGGTTTTCATATAATCAAGTCATTTTTATAACCTACTAAAATTTTCATATATAAATGGATTATGCATTTACAAAAGGATATAGTGATCTTGGAAACCAGCATTGGTTCATAAAGAACCCATTATGCCAGATTGCATCATTTCCTTATTTTGCAGGGTTATTAAACTGTATTTCAAGAAAGTTCTGCGGACAGAACATATCTGAATTTCAGCAAGATATTTGACAATGTTCCACGATATATATATTGACAAATTAGAGAGATATGGACTAGATAATAGTATAATTCAGTGGATTTTTGTTTGAATAACCAGATCAAAAGAATGATAATTAATGAACTGGTGTCAGACTATAGTGTGGTCCCAGTGGAATGGCACCAAATTCTGTTTTGGGTCTTGTTTTTTTTGTTTAACATTTCTGTCTGTAGCTTGGATGACATACTTACACAAAATTTAGGAATGGTGTGAAACTTCGGGTAATAGAGACTATGTTGACTGACAGAACCAATATACAGAGTATCTCAACAGACTAGACTTTTGGCTGAATCTAATAAGATGAATGATCTAATAAAGATCCAATTAAGTGAAGATCTTATAATTCAAAAAGCCAACTAAACAAGTATTGGATAGAGGCAATATGAGTAGGAAATACTTCATGTGAAGAAAAGTCTAGGGGTATGACTGAACTGCAAGTTTGACTTGAGTCAAAACTGTGATGTGGCAACCAAAAAAGCTAACAATAATCTTAAGAGATTTAGAAAGTGAGTTGCATTATAATATGGGTTTGTTATACCACATATGGAACATTCTATTTGATTCCCATTTTAGGAAGAATGTTGACAAGCTGAAGTGTGCCCATAGAATGGCTAACAGGATGGTGAGGGAATCCAAAACCATGCTCTTCAAGGATTATTTCAAGAGAGAGGAAAATGTAAGTTAGAGAAGAATAAGCTTAGAGTATTCACAATATCAGTTATTTAAAGAGTTGTTATGTGAAAGGGTTAAATGTGTGTTACTTGATGCAAGAGAACACCAGGGAGCAATGGGAAGAAGTTGGTGAGAAGCAGGTCTTAATTGCATGTGGCAGAGCAGATAAAGAGACAGTGCTGAAATCAGGAAAATCTGGGTTCCAGTCTTGTTTCTGATATATATGTAGCCTACCTGACCATGAGCAAGTCAGTTGCACTTTGAACATGCAAGTCAACTTTCTCAGACATCTAACTTACAGAAGAGTTATAGATCTACATCAGTGGAGGGGTTTCCCACATTAGAAGTTCCCTCCACTGACGTATTCACAGAAATGACCAAAAAGAAGTAATAACAAATCCAAAAGTGGAATAAAATGTTGATTTCCTGAGCCCCACAGATCTTTCAGAATAAACTGTTTGACTGCTTCTCATGTAGATTGAGTAATGGGAAAAAACACAGAATGTGGAGTTAGACTTTTATTCAAATCTGAACTATCTTTACTATTTGTGGGACCTTGGAAGGAGAGCTACCTTTCTCTGAGACTCAGTTTCCTAATTTACATAATGAAAAGATTGGGCTAGGTAATGTCATAAAGCCCCTTCTCTATCTAAATCTTCTCTGAGATTCTGATTGAGGTGTAAGTGTTGAGTCTTTCTTCTTTTGAAATGCAAGCCAAATTTTAAAATCTTGAATATAAAAAAAAAACTGTTTAATAGTTGACATTTTAAATTATATGTGTATATATATGTGTATATATAAAAATATGGCATTAGACATCCTGAATTTTCATCTTTAACTCTAAAATAAGAATTTTAATGTTGCTTCTAAACAAATTTAGTACCTTTCACTGTATATATAAGTGTGTGTGCTGGGTTTGGGGGTGGAGAGGAAGGAGTAATAAGCTCAGGTTTAAAAGTTGCAAAGGGTTTTTTGCAGTCTTTTTAGGTATTGTTTTCTGATAATAGTAATGTACTTGTATAAAATTTTATAGTTTGCAAAATACATTTTTCATCTCATTTGGTTTTTCCAATGAGGGAGGCAAGGCATGTATTATTATTCCCATTTAATAAATGATGAAGCTGAGGCTTACAGAGGAAGCATTACTTGCTCAAGATTGTATAGCAAATAAATGACATGCTGATAAATGCGTGAAGTGTACGCACCAGGTCCTAGATCTCCTAACTCCCAGTCCAGGGTTGAACTGTTACGGAAAAAATAAGTATGTGTGCACACACAAATAGACATACACATACAGAGACACAAATTCTTCCAGTGCAATTCTGTAATGGGATACGCAGTGACTTTATAAGTTATGATCTTTCCCCACCAACTGCTTATTTTACGAGTCAGTGCAGTAATACTAAGTAAACATTTGTTGTATTTCCTCCTGTTTCATTTACTGAGGGATCTAAGGTCAAATTAGTGAATTAGTTGAATGACCACAATAACACAGTAGTTAATGTTTGTACAATTCTGAGCATAACATGTCAAAGGAGCAAATAACATCTAGTCTGACAGTTCAAAGTTTAGAAATATTCAAACCAAGCAGCCAAACCACATTGTAATAGTTGTGTGTGAAAAGTCATTTTTAAAAAAACTTGTTAGAATACCATTCAAAGTTCTGGTCAGTAGAAGTATCAAGAGAATAACAATTTTCAGTAAAGCATTACTTATTGCATTAGCTTCTTATGACCACTGAGCAACACATGGACATTTTAGTACCAAACTAATATAATACTAACTACAGTGAGACCGAGACTGTTGGTACAACCTAATGTCACTTGATAAATGTAGACAGAAATAGCAGTTTAAAAAAATTATCTTGCTGCTTAGGAAAAGAGACACTCCTGTTTAGGCAACTGTTTCTGAAAATGAAAAGGAAGATATTTTGTCCTATGCTTGCACAGTTTCACTTCTGAAAATGAAAACTATTTATTTGAAACAGGCATAAAACAAACAACTGAAAGTGTAAAGCTTATTTTAAAAGTGGTTCACTTTGCTGTCCGAACTTAGAAGCTATTTAACTGTACCATCTGTATATGGGCTTATGCAATAACATTTTAAGAGTATTGAGTTGAGGGTATTTCCAGTGTTTGTTCTTTTTAAAAAGTTTTTCAGTGGAGTTTTTCAAGGGCTGCAGAAATCTCAGGTAAAACTACCTCCTTTATGTTGGTGATTCCTTTTGAGGTCCTTATATTTGGTTCTGCATTTTAAACAATATTCCTTTTTAAGAGCAAAGGGTAGGCTACATTATGTGTACCACACATGATCTCAGGGAAATGGTAAGAAATACAAACTTCAGGTTGTTTTACAAAGCAGTTGTGTATCTATTTTCATCTAGTATCTATATGAATGTGAGAATTCTTTGTGTGTGTGTGTGTGTGTGTGTGTGTCTGTGTGTGTATGTGTGTGTGTGTGTGTGTGTTATAGCTAAGTGTTGTGAAGTAATTCTCACCTGACCAGGCTTCTGGTGTGATCCAGTAGCTTCAGGTTACGAGTGAAGAGTGGACTTTCTGCCAGAGTGAACACGGAGGTTCCGGGAGAACTTCTACAGCAAGTTCCTCCTGAGTCCAGCCTTTGAGGGGATTTTTCTCTAGCCTTAAGCTCCTCCTCTCTTGCCTAATTCTAAATAGGAACAATGACATTGTCCCTTGTATCAATGCCAGAATTCAAGCAAAATACTTCCTCTAGTTGTGCTATCATCTCTCTGTTTCACAATTTCACTGAGTTCAGGCTAATCAGGTCTCCTTTACTACTCAGGGCAAGTCATCTGAGTAGTAGAATTCTGAGTATACTGGACCTAACTCTTAACTCCTTGGGAGATTCCAGTTGTTAAAGTTTTATTATAAGCATTTGCACCTTAAAAATCAGCAGTTACTGCAAATCAGAACTTAATTTTTTGTTTTTATTGTTTAGAATCTGGCCTTAAGGAGGTATTAATAATGCAGATTCAACTTAAAGTACGTATACATTTCTTTTCTTCCCCTAGCTGGGTGGTTAGACACTGAGTAGCACATCCCTGTATTGCTCTATCAACTCAGCAGTAGGTCAGTAGAAAGCTCAGACAATAAAGTTATCACCGGAATGGTAGCCTGGTGACTGGTGACTAATAATAATTGACTTTATGTAGCACTTTAAGGTAAGCATAATGCTTTGTATCCATTGTTTCATTTGAGCCTCATAACACCTCTGAGTAGACCTTTCAGGATGCTAAATTTTAGTCAGAATTAGGAATGGTATCTAGACATTTCACTGACCACATAGTGGGAATTTAATACCTCTCAGGCTAAATATCAGTATATTTGGGTAGAAAGGGAATGCTTACCAAGGGTTCTAGTCCTGGCTACCAACTGTAATTGTTTATCAGCTTCTCTGTGTACAGTTCTGGCATTGGAGGCAGTCATGGAGGGAGGCCATAGCCTTCAGCTAGAACTTCAGAGAACCTTAGTTGGATACACATAGAGGAGCCACACTAAAGGCAGCCTCTGTTTGAAGCCCTCCCTACAAAGGGAGCTGAATTTAAAGGATTAAGACCATACAGCTTCTGAGGGAAGTTTCCTCATGGATAGGTGTCATTGTCTTCCATAAGTTTTCCATGAACTCTATTTGTTTACTTTGACCAGTGCATAAATCTAGACATTCTTTAAGTTTTGTGAACTGTGTGTTAATAGGGGAAGTTAGTAATGGGATAATGAGTGGCATCTACTAGTGAAGTTCTGAAATTGTCATAGTTGTGAACTGCAAGGCCAAAAATTGAGAAATCCCTCAAAATGTAACTGGTCCTTTCATATCACACGAAACTCTCATTTTCAAGGGTTTTGCATGTCCACTGTGCTCAAACTAAATTGAAATACTTGCCATTCCCCTGAAAACATGTCTTGTTCTTTCTTGTCTCCATATCTATGCTTATATTTTCTCCTCCTAGAATGTCTTCCACTGATGTTCGGGAGCTTGTGGCCAGTTTCTCTGTTCTCTCCTCATACTTCTCAGTTTTGTCATTTAAAAAACAAACCACTTTTGCAGGAAACTTCGTGGTTTAGATTTCAGTTCCTCTGGGTTTCCAGCTGCACTACTATAATGTACATGATAATAAAATAATAATAATTAATAGCTAGTGTTTGTATAGCACTTTAAAGTTTGAAAAGCACTTTACAAATATTATCTCATTTTATCCTTACAACTCTGGGAGGTAGGTGCTATAATGATCCCATTTTACAGTTGAGGAAACTGAGGTAGATAGAGATTAAATGACTTGCCCAAGGTCACACAGTTGGTACGTGTCTGATAAACTTGGCATTAGTTAGAAGCTAAGAGGAAAGACATTCAACATGGTGGGAATAGCTGGGTAAACCTTCCCTGGATGTGTGTCAACAGCACGACTATGAAGAGTACAGTTTTAGAAATCGAGGTGGAAAGGAGAGGAATGCTTCATCTCTGGTGGGGCAGATGAGATGGAAGGATATGTGGGACAGGTGAGAACGTTGCTTGCGAAGGTCTAACTGGAAAGAAAAAAAAGATCCTGGGCTAGCAGCCAATTTTCCCTTGGATATGGGAGCTCTAGGAAGTTAAGCTGTAAATCAGTAAGCATTTATTAAGTGTCTACTACGGTAGGCTAGCAAATACAAAAAGAGAAATGAAACAGCCCCTGCCCTCAAAAAACTTACATTATTATGCAGAGGAAGTGTTTTTTTTTTTTTCCAGGTTATAAAAAGGTTCCCCACACTATTATTTTATCTGCAGTTTGATCTTTCAAGCCTGTTCTTGTTTTTCCTTTGAGAATACAGAGCACTTAACAGTATTTTTTAGATGAGTGGACCAATGTCAATGGGCTTTCTGTGAGTTAAAAGTAGTACATATAGAAACTAAACCCTAAACTCTTGCTTCCCCCTTTTCTAAGTAGAAACCAAACTCCCTACTAAGATGCACTGTGATGACTTTTGGGAAGTCAGGGTGGTCTAGAGTAGAAGACGAGTTAAAGATAGCTGTTAGAGTGCTTTAATGTCAGTTTGCCAAAATGACAGATTGTATACATGTTTGTGTCAGGAAAAAAGAAATGGAAAATGGAAGAATCTGTTTTTTCTCTCTTTACTCTGCCTGTCACCTGTTAGGGGTGTAAAGTTGGCTTTTTAATAGTTTGGGAATAGGGAGTAATTCTTAAATGAGCAAACTGCTTTGAATTGCTGGCCTACAAAGAAACAAAATTAATAGATTACCACTGAAACAAGTGCTTTCAACTGTCTATGAATGATGCGTATAGTATAAAACAAGGAGTCAGGAGAAAATGAATTTGAATCCTGCCTCAGACCCTGTGTGACCCTGTGTAAGTCACCTCTCTGTACCAGTGTTTCCTCATTTGTCAAATGGGGATAATAATAGCGCCTAATTCATAGTATTGTTGGAAAAAATCAAATGAGTTAGCATATGTAGATCACTTTGTAAGCCTTGAAGCACTATATAAATGCTATATTATTGTTGTTATTATTATTGTAGTGTAAGTGTGGTGAATGGTAGAGTTGGAATTAGCAAATTTGAGATTCAAGTGTTCAAATACCACTTCAGAGCTGTACACTAGTTGTGTGTACATGGGCAAGATTTTTGTAAGCCTCAGGTCCCTCATCCATAAAATGAAAGGATTTTATGTATCATGTGACCTGTAAGTTCCTTTGGAGGAAAAGAAAGGCCTTGTATCTTATCTCTTTTAGAAATGAATAACTTCATCTTAGAAACTGTCCTCCATTTCAATTAAAGTGAAGAGTGACATTTCTCTTTGTTTTAGTCCCCTTAATCACTTCCTGCTTATGACCTAGCTTCTAGACTGATTTTAAAAAAAGGTCATATTTCTGCATAATAATGATAAGTTCTGCATCAAGTTTAATGTTAATAGCCACAGTATCAAGAGAGATGTATAAAATTCCTTGGGGGGGGGGTGTGGAGAGGCTTGCTTTCTTAAAAGGGCCTCCCTATGGTCAAGTGCACGTGTTGTCTGTGTCTTCTGCATTCCTTTAATAAAGTTTCTACTGTTCTGCTTAGGAAGAAGATGTAGTCTTTTTACAATGACAATACTTTCTAGCTGTTTCTCTTTGATCCCATGACTCTAGATGCCAAAGCATAGTTATTTTGGTTCACCATTGGAGTTGATTCACTCATAAATCTTCCATTTAAAAAAATCTTCAGATGTTTCATTTTTTTTCCCGTGGGTATGACCTTGGATTTTGGAAAGTTATATCAGTAGAGAGTCAGCTTAAGTCTGACAATAGACTGAACCAACCTAGCTAAATGCAGAGAGGTTTGTTTTTGAATAGTTGACCACCAGGTTGTTTTTTTTTTTTTTTAGCAACACAAGAAGGTCTGTTGTGACCTAAGTCAGTGGTGGAGGGCACCCATCTTAGTGAAGGTTCCTTGTGTCGTGAAAAGTCATTTTCTTTTTTTTTTAGTATTTTGTTTTTTCCTAGTTCCACATAAAAGCAATTTTAGCATTTGTTTTTAAAATTAAGTTCTAAATTCTCTCCCATGGTCCCTCCTCATGCCCCCTCATTGAGAAGACAAGCAATTCAATATAGGTTATACATGTGTAGTCATGTACAGCATTTCCATAATAATCAGGTTGTAAAACAGACGAAAAAACCCAAACAAACAAACCTCAAGAAAAATAAAGAAAGTTTAAAAAGTATGCTTCAATTTGTATTCAGATACCATCAGTTCTTTCTCTAGGGATGGATAGCATTTTTCATTGTAAGTCCTTCAGAGTTGTCTTAGATCATTGTATTGCTAAGAAGAGCTAAGTCATTGACTGTTGATCATCTTATAATATTGCTGTTATTTTGTACACAATAAACTTCACTTTTCATCAGCTCATGCAAGTCTCTGCAGCCTTTTCCGAGAGCATGTCACTCATCATTTCTCGTAGCACAATGGTATTCCATCATAATCACATATCACAACTTGTTCAGCCATTCCATAATTGATGAGCATCCTTTCAATTTCTAATTCTTTGCCCCCAGAAAAGAGCTATTATAAATATTTTTATACTTGTAGGTACTTTTTCTTTTTTTTTTTTTAATCTCTTTTGGGATACAGATCTAGTAGAGGTATGAGATTTATACGCAACTGGGCATAATGACACAAAGTATTTACAAAGATGTATACACACATTCCCAAATATGTATACTTAAATACACAATATATGTATACTCATAAATATACATACATATGTACATATATACATGTATATGTATATATATACATATATATGTGTGTGTGTACATACATTTGTAAGTAGTTTTGTAGCTTCAAGGAACCTTAGAGATTTTTATTTCATGTGTTGTCATACCAGCAACACCCCGCCCCCCCCAATAATTCATTACTAAGTGGCCCTGTGATATGCCTCTCCATTGTTAGCTAAGAGAGGCCTTAGAAAACAGATTCAGCCTGTTACCAGGGCCATGCTCAAACCCTTTTCAGGATGTCAGATTCTTTTAGAACTTTTGTTCTTCTGGCATAGCTTTCAAGAATCCAATGCTACCTCCATGCCACAATGAGACATTGGAGTAGAACAATTATGTAATTTTAA